TTGGTCCCTGGAGCAAGTTTGAATGTAGATCAAGATTGCCATAACCATCTTTCCTAGAGGGAATATGTGGGCCTTCGAAATGGGTGAATTCATTCATGGAGATTCAAATCAGATATACTGTCTAATCTCCAAATCCATTCCGGTATTCCGCCATCAAGCTTGTTATCAGAAAGATCTAGAGTTGTGAGTTCATGTTGATATCTTAGAAAGTCAGGCACTTTTATGAGATTGCAAGAAGCCAATTGTAAAATTAGAAGGCTGGGAAAAGTGTCAGAATAATTAATGCCACTAACTTCTTGTACAGATAATCTATTATTCCGAGAGAGGTCGAGCTCTATTAACTTCGTGAGGTTTCTTATCATGCCGAGCTCCACCGTTCCATTAAAGTTGTTTGATGATAGGTCGAGTGTGTCGAGGGCTGAGAGCTTAAACAAGGATATTGGAATCTGTCCTTGAAGTTGATTATTACTCAGATCAAGATAGCTTAAGGATATTGAATGATTTGAGAACTCTTTTAACTCACCAGAGAATTGGTTATCAGAGAGACTCAATGTCTCTAAAGAAGGGTGGGTAAACAATGAGACTGGCACCGATCCAGAAAGGAAGTTGGAATGTAGATATATAGATGTGAGATGAGTCAGATTTCCAATAAAAGTGGGGATCGGACCCGTAAAATTGTTTGAGTGAAGAGCCAAGACAGAGAGCCGGAACAGATTTCCAATCCAACTGGGGACCACACCTGTAAATTCATTGTCCCAAAGATCTAAATGTACGAGCTGGGTAAGATTCCCAATGGAAGATGGCATCATCCCGGTCAAACCACATCCTGAGATAACCAGCGTAGTCAGGTGCTTGAGATTCGAAATAGAGTCTGGTATATTCCCAGATAACTTCATCCTAGAGAAGGCCAAACTTTGCAAACCATTGTTGTTTGGAAAATCTGGAAGATTCCCAGAAAGCATCGGATTCGATGATAGGTCGAGAAGAGTCAGGTTGGGGTGTGATGTCAAAATGTCTGTCGGCAACAATCCTGCGACTCAAAATATATACTATACAATAAATAATGAAATAAATGCTTGATTATAAAACTAATTAGATAAAGAAGTAGGTTTACCTGGGAGATCACAGTAACTCAAACTGAGCACTTGAAGGTGAGGCATCGAGGTGGACAAAGCACTTCCCCAGTCTGGGTTCGAGGACATGTCGACGCCGTCGAGATGGAGCTCCTTCAGACTGCTAAGGTTTCCAACTAGAGTCCGGAAACTTGGATGGCGGAGTTCTGCATTATAGGTGGTCCAACTGCTGAGGTCGAGGGAGATGAGGTCGGTTAAGCGAGAGATGCCGATAGGGATCTGACCACTGAATCCGGCAAATGAGAGATTGAGATGTGTGAGTTGTGTAAGGTTCTCAAAGCCCACTTGAGGAAAGCCTCCTTCAAATTCATTGCGGGAGAGGTCGAGAGTTTGGAGGGAGGTTAGATTGAAGAGGCTAGCACTGAGTTTACCCTCGATACCACGGTTACTGAGGTCGAGGCCGTTGACGTGGCCAGCTGATTTCGGGTCGCAAGTGACTCCCTCCCAGTCGCAGCAGTTGGAGCCAGGTTTCCATGAAACTAGGGGGCCTCCAACGTTTATTACCTCGTCGAAAGAGACACCACGAATCACGTCGAGGAGGGAAGACCTCTCAGATGGGAGGCATCCACCAGTATGAGCAGCAGATTTGAAGGATCGCAGCATAAGTATTACTACCAGCAATATTAATAGTATAGAATGGGGAAGCCGATCAAATATTGCAATGCCCATGCTAACTAGCTAATTAATTAATTATTAATTTGATACCTAAAGGTGAATGAGAAATTAATGGATATAAATAGGAGGAGAGAAACCCAGAATGCGCTTCATCTTAGCTAGTTGAATTACTGGGCACGAGTTATTAGACGTGTTGGAAACGTTAATTTGCAAGTGACAGCTTAGAGAAGACTTCCACGGGCGACGACGAAGACTTGGAAGACTTGGAAAATCTTACCTGAAATTTAATCTTTTTAATCCTCATATTAGCACTACAAACTCAAACGTGTCATTAGTAGGCATATGATGAAAATGAAGATGAAAATCCTTTCTTATTAGTCACAAAAGTACCCTTTAATTTAGTAAAAAGTTCATGGTGTTATCTTAGCATCGGTGGTGCTAATTTGAAGATTAAATTAGAGTTTAAGTAAGAAATTTTCAAATAAAATTTAGTGAAATAAAACAGTTCATGGATGTTATGTGCAACTCTCCAAAGTTCATAGGGGTTTGATGTCACAAAAAAACTTAATGGGGGTTTATTGCAACTCCCTAAAGATCATGGGGGTTTTCTGTAACTAACCCTTCAATAATGTTAGGTGCATGATTTGTATTTGTAGAACTATACCCAATATTGCTACACCTATGTAGTTATCTGAGATAATTTAGCACCTAACTAGGAGCTACAAATTAATAATGTGACTAATGATTTCCATAAATAAGGATTGTATATGACATTTGGATATCCGAGTCATGTATATAGAGACAAATACAAATATATTTAGTACGGAAAAACTCGTTCATATCCTTCAAAATGAGATATAAACATGAGAATACAAATACAAATATGAAAACAAATATACAGCACCCCGAATTCAGAATAGAACCTGCTACCAATTAAATTGCATCCCCTAACACGATGCAATAACTCTGCAAGAGATATGGTGGAAAAGATTTTCACAGGCGATGACTTGATAGACTTCTTCATTGAAAATGAATGGTTGTACGTAGGCAATACTATTCGTTTTTGGAGTTTTGAAAAGTAAGGCGATGTTAGTTCATGTGGTGTGTATGACTCCCAAGTCAATAGTCCAACTATATTATATAAATTGAGTGGCTAAATTTAAGTTAATGATATAGTTTTTTTTGAAGGAAAATAGGGCTTTTCCCTATCAGTATGTATAAACTATACCAAAAGTTCAGATTACAAAAGAAGATATCTTCTTATGAATGAGGCATCTTAGCCCATTCATTAGAAGATGTCTTAAGAAAAAAAACCCAAAAACAGAACCAACTGAAGCCCAAAACCAAGAAAAAGCAAAAAAGGAAAAACTGACCAAAAACTGTTATGCATATACAAAAGAAACAGGAGTACTATCAGTAGATCAGGCCATGGAGTTGCTGTCGGCACTTGATTCAAGAATGTCTTGGAGACCAGACGAGCGGACGAGGTTCTTTAACTTGAGCGACTTCTTGGAGGTGGAGGCCACTGACCAGAAGAGAATGAGGTTAACAGCCTTCTTGATGATAATCAGAGGGGAAGTCGAGATATTTGAGAAGACTAGGTCGTTACGAGCTTTCCACAACCCAACTAACAGTGGGGAAGCAGACGCCCCATAGGAGACGAACGGAGGCAGGGATAGAGTGGTTAGAGCAGATTGCTAAACAATCTTCAATGTTGGATGGAAGGGAGCCAACACTCAGTTTGAGGAGAAAAGGAGCCCAGACTTGTTGTGCCAGGTTGCATGATAGGAAGAGGTGATCGTGGTTTCTTGATCAGAGCAGAACGGACAACGAGAGTCTACTAACCACCCTTGGGAGGCAAGTCTGTCTTTGGTCTTCAATCTGAGAGAACTAAGGAGCCAGAAGAAGATTTGAACTTTGCTAGGCATGACTTTGTTCCAGATGGTAGAAAGGAGGCTGAAACGCATTCCGCCATCAGCTAAAAGATGATGAAAAGATCTGACAGTATAGAGCTTGGATGCTGTTAAAGACCAGGAGGGACTGTCTGCCATCTCGGACGGCACAAGATTGGAAGCTGACAAGTACTGAGATAAGGCTAACACTTGATCCCTGGCCTCATCGCTACTAGGACGCCTAATAATGGGTTTCCATACCCATCTGAAACCCTGCCATCTCCCTTGGGAAGAGATAATGATATAGTTGATTGAAGGATACCTAGTAAAATGCTTGTTTTTCCAATATAATTTAATGGACACACTGATGTGTTGGAAACGTATGCAAGAGACAACGTGGAGAAGAATTCCCTGGACGACGACGACGACGATGAAGACTTGGAAGGCTTTAATTTCAATGTTTGTACATACAAATCTTGTTCATTCGTCATGCATGTTATAATAAAATGAAAACTACAAGGCAAGATACTTAAACAAAAAACTATATATATACATACATTGTGTTATACACACAAATACCATGATCAGCCAATCTTTACTCCAATGATTGTGCTATAAATATTTTGCATTCATTATGCATCCAATCAAGGCTTTCTGGTTTTTTCTAGAGCCGGATTTACATGAAGAATATGAATTTAAAATTAAATATTTGCAAAGCTTGCACCTACACTGAGGTGGAATAAGTTTGCAAGTGACGAGATGGAGAAGAACTTCCTTAGGCCCCATGAATTGTTTTTCCTCCTGATGACCATCCCATAGTATAATTGAAAGGCTACGATTAAATTAACAATGCGATCAATTTAAATATTCTGATTGATAATCATATGCTTGTTTTTCACAATATAGTTTAACAAATGCAAATGCAGTGATGTTAGTTCTGCAAGCAGATAAAATGAGGATTGCACATGACATTTAGATATTCACATCACAATATTTATACTTACACTTTTCTCAATAAAAAATATCTATACTTGTACACCTTCATCCAACATGGTACACTGTTATATAATAATCCAGAGCCTTTAATCATTATATTATTAACGGCTATGCTCATCCGTAATTCACCAGAGAACACCTTTCACGACATCTCAAGGACACACACAGAAAATCAAAAGTAAAACTATTGGATGCAGTAAAAAGGGTAAAAGGCGTCAATAATAAGAAAATTAGGTATTTAAGCTAATTAAAAAAAAACTTGCACTATTATAAATGAGCTCAACCATCCCATCCGCCTCTTCAACGATAACGAATACATGATAATAACTAATGGGTCTGTGTATAATTAATTCTAAGAACAGAGGAAGAAAAGAAGCTGAAGCCATGGCTAACAACCGAAAATCTATATACAAGGAATATTTAGATGTAATTGTTGTTTAATCACACCAACAATTCCAGAGAAACCGCGAGGAATTATTTACAGATGAAGTAGAACAGAAGCATTATATGCACATAATAAAATTATAGAAGGTAGTCCTGATTTTCTTATAATTACATGAGCTGCAAATTATAAATGGCATTTCTCTATAACTTCACTTAGTTGCTGGTTTTGGCCGGTGGTTATCATTTTTCATGAAACCTCCGCCATTAACGGGATCAAAACTGCATCTGTAGAAACTGAGAGGAGAGATCACTTATTAGTTTCTAAAACTAAATCACATTAGGCACAGAATCAAAATACTGAAGTTTGATGGCTGTTTTTCTCCCGTTTCATATAAATGAAGTTTAATTGTGGATAGACCCTGGGAGTGATTTTTTTTTTAAAATCTTTTATCACATGAGATCTATTTGTCCAAAGATAATTATCTTGTTGAGTTAAAAAAAAATGTTCACTCAAGGGGTCTATCTGCAACAATAGAACTATAGGGGTGTATCCACAATTAACCCTATAAATAACAGTGCATCAATGACAATATATACATGTCTGAAGCCAGGATGCAATTATTGGTATGAACGTGGAGCTCCTGTTGAGTAGTGCGTGCGTTAAATTTGATCAATCAAGCGTTGAAGAAACTAGATTCTTCATTTTTAATTTTCACTCATAGCTTTGCATAGGATGAGAAAAGTACTGCAGGAGTGCATGCAATGAAAATTCATGAGAGCATGGTAGACAAATACCAGGTTATATCTTTATCGGGTGAAATCATGAAATATAATAGGTTTTTTCAGTTCTTGCATGATAATGCAAGTAGATGGAATCAAACATGGCCGAATTTCTAACCTAATCAAAATAGGATGGATGTTAGGATTGGCAAACCAATCAGTTTAAGTAACCTATATAGCAAACTGTGAGGTAAAAGAAACCGATCCTGCTCACGGGATCCAAGCAGGTTTAAAAAATGAACTTTATATTTCTCCCAAAATGTGGAGAAGGAATACTTAAATACTAAATAGCTCCAGCTATAGTATAAGTGCCCATGCAGTAAAGTAAACAAATTTGAGTCATATAAGTGCAAGTCAAGGGGTCTAAATTCTTGCGATTCAAAATAGGTAATGTTTTCTCAACAAGTTTGGGGAAGAAAAAGGCCATAATATCTCGAGTTTGGAGAAGAGAATTGTGGCTCTTGTCATGTTTGAAGTTATTATCAAAAAACATTTTCCCCTAAAAACACACTACATATCGGTCAACATGGCCCAGTTACGCTCCAGATGTAAAGTGTTAGCCTACATTTGGTTTCAATACTTTTTGATTACTCAGTAATTACTCTCTCAAACACAATTCGTTACTCAGTTTCTAGGAGATGTTTCTACACAACTGGGCGAAAAACATGGACTAGTGACACTAGAAATAAAATGCCGTTCAAGAGTGTGGTTTACATCAAGAGTGAAATTTTGGGAATGAATAGCATTCAGGATTGCGGTATATATCGACATAATGGCGACAAAGGAAATATCTGCACCTATCCTATATATACCCCCCTTCGAGTTATAAGGCATTGCATGAACCCGAAAAATAAAATTAATTTCAAACTTATAATAAGAAAATTATAATACTCATAAGACAAAGAAATATTCTGTCTTGAGTATTTATGTTAGTAAGAGTCTAGTTTCCTAAGAAAAGAAAATAATGTAATACTATCATAGATCCTATTACTCTACTTTGATGTAGCTAGGAGTCTAGGACAAAAAAAATCACCATTTTGGGTAATAAGAAATTGAATAAGAAAGTAAATTAATCCAAAACTTAGTAAATTAATCCAAAACTTATAATTAGAATATAACAAATATAATAAAAAAGAAATATTCTAACTTTGATATTTTTCACTGATTATTACCTATATCCTAAGAGAAAAGAGGAAGGAAAAAAAAAGGCAACATTATTGTGATTTGTTTTTCATGAAATGTGCCAGGAGATGGCCAGCACCAAGCAGCATTAGAGGACAGCACAGATATATAGGATGTAATTCCATTTTCTATGTATTCTATATAAATGAAGGTTGTAGCTCTGGTCCAAGAACCACGAAGTACTGATTTCCCCTTTCATACCACTAAACCATTAAGCCCCCCAATTATGATGTGATATTAAGTAGGTTGCAGGTAAGAAAGCTGGTAATCACATCAAAGCAAGAAAAGTTTGAATGTGGTTTGCTGCTTTAATAGCATGTTGTGCGCACATCATTACTTGGACCTGTGACAAATCTGACTGCCTTTTCGTTTTAACAAAAGCCAACAGCTCAGAGTTGGCTGCTTAGCCTGTTTTCATTGAATTTCCAACTTCTGAACTACAAGTATTGGCACTTGGCAAGATTTTAGAAAGAGCCTTCCCTTTCCTTTGCTGCTTAGTATTATAGATATTATGCTATTAGTCATATGTACCACCCGCTCTTTTTCCCCCCAACAATTAATATATTGTTAAAATATCAAAAGACACAACTCCATGAACTACAGATTATACACACACAACTTACTAAAAAATTAACTATAGTGTCATAATTAATGATCAAGGTACTTATTGGTGATGACATTTGTAAGATACAGATGTGTCGAGTAATGCATACTAATTTGCAAATAGACATTCTGCAGCTAAGAGTTTTGCCTCCATCTTATATGTTAAAATTTCTATTGCGAATGATCCAAAATTTTTATTGGAGGTAGCACTTAAGTTATAATCCTATCCTTAGCTATATTGATTGACTGTTAAGTTCTGCACAAACAATTCCCAAAAATTTGTGAGAGTTAACGTGAGGAATGTCTTTCAGCTTTGACTATATACCTCAGCTAAAATGTATGGAGAATCTTTGCTAGTAAACACAAACATATCACAAGTGATTAAGAAGAAACCAAATCTGAGTGAAAACAATAACAAACCAATCAAAAGGTGCCATAATGATCCACTGTTTATTGAAAATGGAAACAACTGAGTAGCCAAAAAAAAGGATAAAAGATATCAATTATATACAAGTGCAATAAAATTTTAAGACAGGATCAGTACCTGCCATCCATGCCAATGATTATTACAGTGTTTTGGGCTCCAAATGCAGCAGAGTAGCGTGTTGCTTCTGGTAGGTGGAACCGAGCAAATGACCACTCAGAACTAAAATATTTAGGCAGCACACCTGAAAAACAAACAGCTGTAAATGAACATCCTTTTTCTCACCTAATAACTACAAGCTTCAGCAAGGAAAGAAGCAACGATAAATAGATAGCACAAAATAATCTGGAAACTCGCCTCCCAAAATAAGTGTGGAAATTATAAGCCAGTGAAATTCAACATCCCGAGTTGAGGAATTGTGTTTTCATGTTGTAAAAGGATCAGTTATCTATTTACAGTTTCAAAAATTATTATGGAGTAAAGTTGTTGCATCCAAGTAAAGCGAGTCAAAAAGGCAGAACTTGGTTAATTTGTTTTATTGTAGCATATCAAAATTCAATATCACCTTGATCATGACGCAGATAATGAAAAATTGATGCGTCTACTTCTTGAAGGTTCTATACCGTCAGACACATCAGACTTTCACGTCTTGGTTTTGACTGTTACAATCAGAACTTGAAACAAAATCATTTACAAGAGAGATACATCACCAAGAAGGCTTCTTCCAGTGAAGCCCTCACCAAAAGTACTTTAAACATAATAATTCCATTTCTTTAGAAATCAAATGTAAAGGATATCTGAGAGTTTTAACTTTGTATATTTTCAGTTTTTACAATCTAAGTTTAAAACCTTAAAAAAGGATAAAACAAAACAAAATAGACAGCCTGAATCCTGAATCAATTTAATATGCAAACTTGTAAGGTGGATACAGGCCAATTATCTAAGAATTTGTAAGTTTGAAAGGTCTACCGACTATGATGACATTCTAAAAGTTAAAATTACATCAAATTTGGCAATTCCTGGCAGAATACCTGTGTGTAAATGCTTATTAAAAGATAGCTAAGTGAGCTTCAAAAAGGCAGCCATGTGCAAAAATCTAGAGTAGGATTTCCATATTTAAACAAAAATGTGAGAACCAGTATTAAAATAACAACTGTTGAATTGCTGATTAAAGATTGGAAAGTTGTCTTCTCTTTACCACTCAAGAAGCTACCGTCTTAAAGTTGGGCATTGCAAAGATAAAATGCAGAAAATAATAAAATGCTCGTGAGTAAGGTCAATCATACTGATAAATTCAATAATAAAATGCAGAAAATAAAAAGGAAAAAAAACTGCATCAAAGATTCTAAAGACACTGTTTCTCCAATCTTTTGAGTGGAGAGGGACTTAATGTTTCTTACCTTTCATAAAAGATAATGATGAGCTTGCGTTGGCACCAGAGTTTGAAGATATAAGAGCATCAAGTGAACATGAAGAGTTTTGGCGTGCTAATTCCGGACCATGACCAACAACATTCTGGGTAGATGCATCCTCTCCAACTACTCGAACCCTAAGACTGAAAATATGGACAGTGCCTTTGTCACTAGACACAGCCAACCACTTAACAGTTGGAGAGAGAGCTAGGCTATATATGTCAGCTCTGTCTGCCCCTCTGCGTACCTGCGATACAGTCATAACCTAGAACTGAGAAACAAGATATAAATGAAAAGTGAACAATTGTAGCCAATTTGGAATGTGGACTACAAGCATGTCGCACATACATGGAAAGTGCAGAGTTATAGCAATGGGCAAAATGGAAATATGGCCTATAAGCACATTACCCACCAAACATTCCCGGACATATTACTACCATATATCTCAATCTCCAATGGTGACATCACAGGGAACGAAAATTGCAGTTCTGATTGATGACTAATGCCACAAATAAGGACAAAGAAGATACACTATCCCAATAGTAACCAAGAAAGCTCTGTTGGGACTTTGCTTGTAACATTTTACTCAGCTTCTTCTAAATTTTAGCACACTAGCATCAAAATAGACACTCTGCAGGATCTAATTTTACAGGGGCCAGTATGGACAGGCTTTTGGAATATACTACTTTCTTCTTGTATTCGGTCTAGGCCATGGATATGGGGGTAATGCCCTACAGAAAATGCCATCTTACACTTTTAGTCTTAAGAGAATATTGGAGCTTGCTACTTGCTTGCATAATGCATTACTAGTCTTCTAAAATATATGTCAGACCCTTTATTTTCCAGAACTTCCCGAGATAAGGGAGGAGTTTTCAATGGTTGAAATAACAGTTGAGTGATGATTGAGAATTTGAGCTGAAAAGTTATTATTCTTTCTTTTGTCAAGGTAGACACTGATGATTAGGTCATTTACGCAGATAGTTAATGCATTACCAGCTTAGGTTGTTTATACTGATAGGTTCATCAATTCTTTTCCTATGAGTTCCCCTAAAAAAAACTAGTTGCTATTTGTTCTTGAAGTTAATTGGAATTATCCAATCCAAAGACTCTTCCCATAAAACCCACTATAGGACCATTCATTTGGCATGTCATGCGACAGAATTGCTTAACCATCCTCACATTGATTACGCCATCTAGTTTTAGGACATCATCTATATTTGAATATCCTATTGGCTATTGCTAATGAAATTTGTTGTTTGAGTTATCAATGCCATACTCATGGGCAACTATTGGGTGGACACTTGTTGCCTAACTAAGCCAAAGAGAACTCTACAGGAGAAATCAAATGAGGATAATATGTATCGACTTACTAAGGTGTTGTAAATAAGGAATCATGTGGGAATGATATCACAATGCAAGTCTTATGCATTTACCTCTTGCAGGCGTGTACCATCCATTGTGTTAAATATCCTGATCAGGGTACCCTTGACACTTGCAGTTGCAAGGAGGAGTCCATCCAAAGTCAAAGTGAAGCAAGAAATTGGTGAATCGTGTGCACTGATGAGCTTCGTAACTTTCAGGCCAAAGTGTTCAACTCGGACTTGTCCTCGATACAGCCCAGGGCAAGCCAACACCGAGGTGTTTGCATTATGTGAAAGGCAGCATAACCCCCTAGGATTAGATAGAGTTTCAATCTGATAAAGAAGCTTCAGGTCCGTGAAGTTGTACACAAATATCTTGTGTTCAAGAACCACAACTATGCAATCTCGTCTCAATTTCACAGCTCGAACATCAGATCTGAAAGCAAATTCACCAATGCACCGACTCTTATGATCATCCCAAATCATTACTTTATTTGGTGGATACTCTGGATTGGCACCACCGCCAACAAGAGCCAGTATATTGCAGCGAAAAAGCATTTCCACTATACCAAATCCCCCACTTTTTAGATCCCTTCTAAAGGTTTCCTTGAACGGATCACAGTTATAAATACGGAATCCATGGCTTGTTCCAGCGGCAAAGCATCCATAGTCCTGATTCCAAGACAGTGACAATAATTCAGCTTCATTGCCATCAGGTAAATCAGGTTCAGGAGCTTCAGGTTGACCCAAAGAAGATGAAAGGGACCACGAACGTGGTGAATCCATTAAGCTAAGCCTTGCAGGGGAATAGCTTCCCTGTGATGACGCGACCACAGAGCTCATTTGGCCTCAGGCAGCACAGGACGCAGAGAGGTAAACAAACAAATGGAGAATCTTCAAAGCTCTCTCTGGATCCTACAAGACAAGGTTCAAAACATCGCCCGATAAGAAAGTAACGAAGTCTAAGGTTACTGCCTGTCCTGTTTCTCTGTTTTCCCCAAAATTCTCTATTTCAGGAAGTAGATTTGTCCAGGATCTCTCCAACTACCATTCTACAAAAGCGACATTCACTAAATTTCTCAGACACGCTGTGCTAAATTGAAGCATAATAAATAAATAAATAAATGCGCACCAAGTGTTTCCCTCGGAAAAGAAAAGTATCAGTACACATCAACTGTCAACCTTAAATAATCAAGAACTTGACTTAAAACAACCAATAACATCCAATCACACGGTTCAGGTCATTAGATTAATCAAGTTGATCGATTCAAGTGGGTTTAATGAGCGAACTAGAGAAAGATTCTCCAAGAGATCTGGATCATAAAAAATAATTCTAAATTACATCCAATGCGATACTCACCGACATAATGAATTACTCTGTCTGCACTATACATTTACCTCAAAATGAAAACAACCCACATTAATCATCAATTTCTAGGTCATCAGATTCATAAAGAGATCTGAATCCAAGAGATCTGAATCCAAGACTGCAAACCTAGAAAGTGGAGAATCTCCCAAATTGAACGATACGAGAGGGTTTAACTCAAAATCTACAAGAGATTATAAAGAGATCTGAATCCAAAAAAAAAAGGGGGGAAAATAGGATCAACACGAAGTTACCTCAAAATTTAGTTCTTTTTTTTCTCTCTCTCTCTCTCGCTCTCCAGCGAAATAACGGGAAACTGAGTCTCTGAAGAATGGATACTTGAGGGGCACGACAACACAAGAACCCCTCAATTATTCGTGAGTTTTATTCGCTCTCTCTGCTTAAAGAAAGAGAGGAAAAGGTCGGAGGCGTAGGTTTGCAGGAAAGTACGCTAGGGGTGCTAACGTACGCCGCGGTGTCTTTTCGCGGTGACGCCACGCCGCCTGCGTGACCCCGCAAAGTCCTCGCAGATTAGGGCATGTTCGGTTGGTTTCCTAATACAAGTAAATCAATAAAATAATATTTTTATCCATTTTCATCCCTAAAACTCATTCATAACTTCTAATAAAATATTATTTTTATCATCCAACTCATCTCATTTAATCTTCTTTCTTACCTTTAAAAATAAACCAAGCACAAGAAATGTGACACATCATCCAACTCATCACATCTCATCTTATCTCATTTTTAAAAATCACAAACATCATCCAATAATATTGTGACAACTCATCTCATCTCATTAAACCTTCATTTCCATCCATTTCCTCAAAAAAAAAAATTTGATTTCCTTAAGTATGTGTCACATCATCCAATAATATTCCTCCAACTCATCTCATCTCATCTATTTTCTTATTTTTAAAAATAAGCCAAACACAAACAACCTCAAAACATCATCCAATAATATACCTCCAATTTATTTCTTTATTTTTTTAACCAACCAAACAACCTCAAAACAAATTTTTTTAAAAAATCACTCGCATCATCCAATATATAATAAAGTGACAACTCATCTCCTATTCTATAATTTCCTTCTTTTTTAAACCAACCAAACAACCTCAAAACAATTATTATAGGAAATAGGTTTCCTATTTCTTTGATTTCCCGTTTTTTTTGCGAAACGAACAACCCCTTAGCATATTTTTCATGCTCCTACTTTGCACCTAGGATTTGTTTGTTTGGCTTAAAAAAAGGAAATCAAATAATAAGAAATCTATTTCTTAAAAAAAAATTTAAGGTTGTTTGGTTGACTAAATAAAAGAAGGAAATCATATAATAGGAGATGAGATGAGATGAGTTGTCACCATATTATTGGATGATGGAAGTGATTTTTTAAGAAAACTTGTTTTGATGTTGTTTGGTTGGTTAAAAAAAAGAAATGAATTATAAGAAACTCATTTCCTATAATAGGTTCTTCTCTTGTGTTTGGTTCATTCTTAAAAATAAGAGATGAGATGAGATGAGATGAGTTGCCATTATATTATTGGATGATGTGACTCACACTTAAGGAAATCAATTTCCTTGGTTTTTTTAGGAAATGGGAGGAAATAAAATGTTAATGAGATGAGATGAGTTGTCACCATATTATTGAATGATGTGAGTGATTTTTAAAGATGAGATGAGATGAGATGAGTTGGATGATGTGACTCATTTCTTGTGTTTGGTTTTTTTAGGAGATGATATGAGATGAGTTGATGGATGAAAATAATATTTTATTGGAGATGATATGAGATGAGTTGATGGATGAAAATAATATTTTATTGGATAAAGTGGATGAGTTGTTAGATGAAAATAATATTTTATTGATAATATTTTATTGGATAAAGTGGATGAGTTGTTAGATGAAAATAATATTTTATTGGATGTTGTGGTGATTTTTAGAGATGAAAATGGAAAAAGTTGATGTTTTTGAGATTTTCATGACCCAATTTTCTATTCTTGGTTTTTAAGAAACCAACCAAACAACCCCTTATGTACCCTCACCTAAAAGATTTCAAAACTTGTACTTATATACCCTTACTTATTTTGGCAGCTCCTATATACTCTAAAGTTTTAAAAAATATTCATTTAAACAGTCTAAAGCATTTAAAACTAGCACTTAAACACCCTCAATTATGCAAAGCTGAGGGCATTTAAGTGCAAGTATTAAAAACGTTAGGGTAGTTAAGTGTAAGCTTTAAAAACTTTAAGCTATGTAAGTGCACATGCTAATAGCTTTAGGGTATTTAAGTGCAAATGTTAAGAATATTAGGGTATATAAGTGCTGCCAAAGATAGGGGAAACTATAGGGTATTTAAGTGCGATTTCATATTTAATTTCTCCAAATATTAATAGTCTTTTGTTAGTATTGTTATAACTACAGGATTTAGTTTAGTTTTTTGGATAGATAGAGTACATTCATTCAAAATTTAAAAGAATAAGGGGTTGTTTGGAAAGAGGTTTTTTAGAGGGAAAGGGCTGGAGAGACTGTCAAAACCCTGCCAAAAGTGCAACTTTTGGCAGGCTTTCCACCCAAATCGCCTCTTTTGGGTGGAAAACCTGTCAAAAGCTGCACTTTTGGCAGGCTTTCCCCCTACCCAAATCGCAAATAAACAGCCCCTAAGTAAAAGTAAGATATGATGAAAAAAGATCTAGAATAAATAAAGTTAGATTTGCATAGCTTTGATGAGCAATTTAATTAGGGAGGGGAAGATACTTTTGACTGGGGGGACTTTTTCTTGTTTTCGGTACAAAAGTCTGAGTTGATATGCAATTGCTCAATGACAAAAATTCCCCCCTTTTGATACAAAAATTTCTGAAAAGAATGAAATTATATGTAAAGTAAAAAAATTAAATAAATCTTTCGGAAGGAAGAAATTCATCCAAATATTATTATAATTATTGAGATCTCTTTGTATAATTGTATGTACTGAACAAACACTTCTTCGTATCCAAATTTTTTTTGTGATAATTCATATGAAAAAAGGCTGTGATCAAGATTCTTGTTTTCATCCACATTTATTTAGAAAATATATGATATGTAATATCGTGTGAATTATTTTAATTATTATAAAAAATCTAAATGTATTGATATAGATGTATGATTTTATAATAATCGATCTGTATGAAACTTTGTAGTAACATTCTTAATTATTTGCAATTTTTTTGGAAGGATATGGCCATTAGCAAAATTTTATTAAAATAGAATAGAATAAAGTAAAAGAGAAACATGGAATATGCATGTAAATGTACACGCTGAGGTGTAAGGAATATTGAGGTGCTGATTAATTAGATTGATACCGATACATTATGTCGCATATTATGTCTAATGAGGATGAGTTTTGAACGTAATGTTAAATTTTCTAAACTTCCACAATAAGTTATCGTCTTTTACCAATTTTAGTTGGTACTTATATTGCTTCTGAATAATTATTTATTTAAATAATGAATAGATGAAAATATTTTTATAACTTATATAAATACAAATTCAGGTTCAATTTATTTGATAAAATAATTATTAGTAAATTTTTCTTGTTCAAAATTTGTCATGTTTTAAAAAGTAGAGGGATTACCTTCTTTAACCTTTCTTTAATTGCCAAATCCTAAAAAGTCAATCCTTCATTTTAGCTATCTTATCCAAACTGAATTTAATTATTTTTAATCACTCGCTATTGATTAACTAAGGGGGTGTTTGGTTCAATTTCTAGAAATTATAGGAAATGTTTTCCATCTAAAATATGATTTCCTTGTATTTCTTAAAAAAATTATAGGAAAAGTTTTGAGAAATCAAAAAGTACAAATTTTCTTGTTTTTTGTACTTTGCTTGTTTGGTTCAAAACAAGAAAATAGCTCCTAACTTTATAGAAAATAACAAGATTTGATAGGTTTTTAATTAAATATGGTATGTGTCAGATTTCTGGCGATTTTCTCTCATTTTGAGAGGAAATTGCTTTTTGTAAAATTTGGTAGGTTTTGATATTTTATAGATAATATTTCTGTAAATTTTTTGTTGAACCAAACACAATTTACAGAAATCTCTGAAAAACTTTTAATTACAAATTTTTCATTGTCAGATGTTTTGAGAAAAATTTTCTCAAAAAGTGTGCAACCAAACAGCCCCTAAGTTAACTCTTCTTCTTAACCTCCTTTCTTAATGTCTTGCTAAGGGGCTGTTTGGTTGCACACTTTTTGATAAAACTTTTCTCAAAACATCTGACAATGGCAAATTTATAATTAAAAGTTTTTCAGAGATTTCTGTAAATTGTGTTTGGTTCAAAAAAAATTTACAGAAATATTTTCTATAAAATATCAAAACCTACCAAATTTTACAAAAAGCAATTTCCTCTCAAAATGAGAGGAAATCACCAGAAATCTGACACATACCATATTTAATTAAATACCAACCAAATCTTGTTATTTTCTATAAAGTTATGAGTTATTTTCTTGTTTTGAACCAAACAAGCATAGTACAAAAAACAAGAAAATTGGTACTTTTTGATTTCTCAAAACTTTTCCTATAATTTTTTTAAGAAATACAAGAAAATCATATTTTAGGTGGAAAACATTTCCTATAATTTCTAGAAATAGAACCAAACACCCCCTAAACGACAAGTTCAGTCTCACAAATTATCCTAGTTTATACATTCTCTTGACTAGCACCCTCAAATTAGACTCGTGATAAAATATGAAAATTTTAAAAATATTTCATATTTTAGAAATTTATTTATTGTTTGGGATGTTTTATAAAAAAATAATTTTTGGTTAAGTTTATTATTTTTTTGAGTTTTTCTTTGTTGGCAAATTCTAGATTTTTATTTTATTTTTTCATACTTTACGATTTTCAATAATGCTTATAAGTTTTTTTGTGATTGACTGTAGAGATTTTCCTTTAAAAAAATAATACTCTTAGGTATTTTTAAGTATTTATTGTTTATATAAATTAGGTTCTTTTTGTTTTTCCATGCGGTATTCCCACACCTAATTATGGATGGGATTAATTCCTGGTCGGGCTTTCGTGGTTGTCATTAGTCTGAGGGTTTCTTTACCTTGCTGGGAGATTCCAACATGGGACTCAGTGGCAGAGCCAGGAGAACCCATTAGACAGTGGGGACAAAAAATAATAAATAAAATATAATATCGGACGTCATTGCTTTAAAGAACTATTGACATTATTTTGATAGTTATGATATTTTCTAAGATTTATCCATGACCTATTTAGAAATATATGACTAAATACTTTTCATATAATTTGAAACAATAAACTACTACTATTTTAAATTGAGATTAGTAATAACATAGAAAATAAAAGTTCCATTGAAAACATGTTTTGATTGAT